TGGTCTACTGGTGGTTTATTAGTAGATAAGTATTGTTCGTCACTAGTATTATTCAGCCACAACAGCTATTGAAATCAAAAAAAATCTTTAGCAGTTGGTTTAGTGGTGTTTTCTTTCAATTGGAGCTCCCTCTTTATTTACTTTAATATTTATATTTCATTATCAAATGTGCATAATTAAAGTTAATTAAATATGTATTCAATTTGCTTTAAATTTGTATTTGATTAATGTAGGTAAAGAGATTAGAGTTCGTGAAATGATATATATATTTTGCCAAAAAAAACTAGCTGTGTGAGTTTTGCGAAACAAAATAATTAAAACTAGCTGTGTGAGTTTTGGTATATATATCAAAAAATTATAAATCATGCCTTTGGTATACTTACACTGTATATATTCCTTTAATAATAAAATAAGCACAATAAATTTTCATTGCTGCCCTATTAATTGATGGTATGCCAATGGCCCAATGGGTACAAACTTGGTGTAACGGTTGGGCGTTTGTCCATTTACCAAAAAGTTCGAACTACTGGGTAGTGCTGCATACCCACCCATTTATACACGCTTCAACCCCTATCCAAATCCGATGTGGGATAAATTTCACTTGTAACATTCTCCCCCACCCGAACCCACGCAACGCCCTCGTTGCAGTCGGACCACCTTGCCTATCCGGAGGCAGACCCGGACGCCTTCCGGGCCGGGCGCTTGGCGTGACACCGAATTAAGGATTGAGTCTGACTTTGATACCAACTGTAACGGGTGGGCGCTTGCCCATTTACCCAAAAGCTCGAATTATTGGGTAGTGCTGCATACCCACCCATTTATACACACTTCAACCCCCATCCAAATCCGGTATGGGACAAGTTTCACTTGTAACACTTGGCCCCCACAGAAAATGTTAGAAGTTCGAGCTTAAGTGGAGTCATATGTGTGCGCGCGTGTGAGTACACAAAGACTCTTTGTTGCAATCTAATGACTTAAAGAGGTGAGATTTGAATCAGGCGTTGCTATGCTATAATACTATGTTAATCAAAAGTTAAGCTAATAAAATAAATTGTAACCCTAATATTTAAATATTAAGATTATCGACGAATTTAATACCCAAATTAAAATCGACAGAGATAAAAACATGACGTGTTATTATAAAATTTCAATTTCCTTATCTTTTCAGTTTTCATAACTGTATCATCTTCTTTTTCGTTTTCACAACTTTCATATTTCTCCAATATAAGAATTTGATTGGTACAAAATCTAGAACAAAAATTGTAATATTTTTCAATTTTTCAATGTTTTGCAATTTTTTTCTCTCTTCTTGTTATCATTAGTTTTGATCATTATAGTAATAAACAAATGAATATCTAATTACGGAGATGCAATATTAATTATCTATGTCTTTGAGAGATGCAATGTGATGTATATATAAAACACATATACTATTTGATATACACTGTGATTGAAACTTTAATCGTCAAACAAAAATACTATATTAAGATGAAACCTAAAAAATGGATTACAACTTTTCAAATAGTTAATTACCTTCTATTTTAAAATCAGTTGTGTATATGGGTTATATTTGACACAGGTAGCCACATGGTGTATATTTTCTCTAACTTGTGTATATATTTTTGTGTATAAAAATATATTCCCAAAAAGTTTCATGCCTCCCCACATAATTTTTACTAATATAGGGGATATATGTGGGTGTGGTGTAAAATACACAACAATTTTACACATTAATGATGTGAATGGTTGGAGATAAAAAAAATTTACACCATCATTAGTGGCTTTGTATATTAATATTATAAGAAACTTGGAGTAAGCATGAGATTGTAATGGAATAATAGAAAATTTGCTTCCCCTCTATTATTATTATTATTATTATTATTATTATTTTTTTGGGTTGTTGTTGTTGTTGTTGGTCCATGCATAATTCATTCAAGCAAGAATTACAAAAGAAACCATTCGTCCATGCATATATGGATAAAATTTGACAAGGTCCGATTATAATTTCGTAGCCATTTATTTCAGGTCATACATATGAAATGTTGTGATTGAATTGCTTATGTGCTCGCGTTTCGTGATTGAAAAATTGAGGCCACACATTCATCATTATTGATTTCATATGATAATTGCAAGAATACAATATATATTCACATCCACTATATGAATAAATCACTTGAATTAATCTTCTTGAACCTATCTATACTATCATAACTAACCCCTGCATGTAAACTGAACCTTCATTTGGTTGGAGGGAAGAAAAAATGGATGGAAGAAATAGGGGATGGATGGATGAGAAATCTCCAGGTAACGGAAGGTGTTTCTTCCATTTTTTGTTTGGTTGAATGGAAAGGATAGTAGAAAAGATGAATGGGGTAATACTTTTTTTTGTTTGGTTGAAAGGAAGGGAAAGAGATTTTTTATATTTTCTTTACCAATGTATCCTCACTGTATAAAATAATAAAAAATAGATGTCCATTTGAATTTTTTTGAAAAGATTCAAATTGGAAATTGTATATTGTCGGTAGTTATTTATTTTCTCTGAACTCCCTTCCCTCCCAAAATTGGTCGGATAGAAAAATATGAAGAGAGGAGGGATGCATCCCTCCTTGCTTCCTCCCTCTCTTCCCTTCCCTCCAACCAAACATGAAAAGCCTCATCCACCTCTCATCTCATCCATCCCTCCAACCAAATATAACATAAAGCTGAAAAGAAAAACAATCCTAATATAATAATTAACTATAAAGATCTAATCTAAACTATATAACAAACAAATCACATACCACTAATCAATATATATTTATATAAAAATAGAGAGGTTTATAGATATGCGGATCATGCATGCTGACACAAATCCTTGATGAATTGATTGTTACTTGGGTTATTGTACTGTCTGAATGTGTTGTCGAAGCAATCATCAGAAACTTGCTTGATAGCCTTGCAACAAGCTGGGCCGATTTGAATATGTGGTCTCAAGGGGGAGTTGATTATCTCGTTCACACAACCTTGTGTGTCTTACATTCTTTAGGATCCACTTTTGGAACAGGTTGTGCCGGCCTCAATGGTGGTGGTTGTGGTGGTGATTTGTCATTAGATGGCGGCGATGGTGGAGTTCTTGGCACCCATGGAAGTGGAGGTGGATTAGGGAGTGGTGGTAGATTAGGGAGTGGAGGCAATGGAGGCAAGTCTATTTGAAAGGCAAAGGATTGAGAGATGCAAACAATTAATAAAGAATTTAACAAAAAAAAAAAAAAAAAAAAAAAAAAAAAAAAAAAAAAAACAATTAATAAAGAAAAGAATGGTTATTGAAGCTCTTTTCGTCATTGTTGGAACTCTCACGGTTTACCTCCAACAATCAAGTTGATTAGGTTTTTATAATTAAGGTTAGGTTAGTGACTTTAATTGAATAACAACTAGCTTTTGGATATGATTATATATTTTTTTATTTGGTTATCATAACCTTGTATAGGGTGTTTGAGCCACTATAAGACTCATTGTGTGTATCTTCTAAGATAATAATCCACAATTTCTATACATTATAGATAATATGATCTGCATGCATAGCACTCTTTGTTATGATCTAATGAATTGTGTTATAGTACACATAATTTTGAGGAAAAATAAATAAATCTAATCTCACATTTCGGTTCCATTTTCTGTTTCTTTATCTGCTATATATCTTCTTTCACTAATTTCTAAATTTATTAAATCTCATTTAAGCATGAGAAAGAAAGCAAGATCTTTATTCCTCATTTTTAAAGAACACGGTGTATTAATTGTTTTCCTTCTTTTCCCTTTCCATTTTCTTTAACCTCACTAAGCTAGTCTGCACATGAACTTGAAGGAAAAAAATAAAAATAAAAAAAATAATCTGAACCTCATGATTAAACCATGCATATATGATTCTGCACGTCATAGCCATCTGATTTAAGTTTATTCATAATTTGCATAAATATATATATAGAGAGAGAGGAGAATTATTTTGAGCTATATCAAATATTGCAATTGGATTGTTTATATTTAATTTTCCAGTTTTTGGAAAAATATATGGTGGTTATGTGCTGATCTTGATCCTTGGGAATTCAACTTTCGGAAGCATATATCTACAAGTATGCAAAATAATCTTATTTAACCGGCTATTCATATAACTCTGTAAACAAAACCTATATATATATATATACATATATATACACTCAACTAATGAATATTAACCCGCAAAGATGTAAACTACACAGAAATAATAATAATAAAATTAAAAATTCAACCTTAATTTGGTGGTTATGGGTAGTGATGATATCCATGGAAGTGGAGGTAAGTCAAAGGCCAAAGTTGAGACAAATAAACAATAAAGAGAAAGATGGTAACCAAAACCCTCATCATTTTCTTAATTGAAATATTAATGATAACAAATATTAATGATGTCTGATGTTGATGTTTTTGTTGGTTAATTCAATTAAGTTCTTACCATGATTTTGATTGGTGACAATCTCATTGAATTAAATAGTTTTAATGGTTGTGTTGCCCAAGATTCCCGTAGGCTCCTAAAATATTTTTTTTATTTTTTTGGTGATATTTTACTTGAATTTTTTTTTTCAAATAAATTTACATTCGAAGGACAAAAAACGAACATATGTAAAAATTCATATTCACTAAATTTGGGCAAAATCCATTGCAATACTGCGACCATCAAAATGTCTATCCATGCAAAGATCAAAAATCAACATATCAACATAGAGAAAACGTTTAAACAAATAAAATTAACACCACCAATTAACAACCATAACTCCTTGTATCTTAACATAATATAAAAAACAAAAACAGAACAAGCTGGTCTGATATTCCTCAACAATTCTTAAAAAGAAGAACAAAAAGTGTCCTAAACTTAACTAAAAACATATATAGAAGAATATTTTTTTCTTCTATTTTATTATAAAGTCAAAAAAAAAAAAAAAAAAAAAACCTATCTAACAGAGAAAATAAATAAATAAATAAAATTAATCACATTAATAATGTTGAGGAGAAGGTGCTGCTGCAGCTTGGCAATGCTCAGTGAGTGCAAGAATGAAGAGTGGGTTGTGAAAGTGTCCAAACACTTCGGTAGAGCAGTCGTGAGTGAGTTGTGTCAGTGGCTTGCAACATTGGGGAGTAAGATCGAGATTGTGAGTATAGAAAGCTGAGAAGATCTCATACACACACCCTTTTATGTTGTGTATATCTGACCAACACTTGATGGCGTCCACTGCTGCCGGCGGTAGAGCTTTGTGGGGTGGCAGCGGTGGCAGAGCCCCTCCGTAGCCGGGTACCCGCGGCGGAAACTTTGGAAAGTGAGGGAGATGAAGGTAAGGCCATACTTGGGGATATTTAGAAGATGATAATGGTTTGGGCTTGTCGGTACTGGCTAAACCATGAGAAACAAACAAGGCCATGCAAGCCAAATAGAAGAAGACTGTGGCGCAACTTGTTTTCTTCATGGCTGCAACACTCTCTCAATACTCGCGCGATCTACTTTGATGATATATAATAAATGAAACTATGAACTGATGATATATGTTATATATATATATATGCTATGTTACAATTTGATTGGGAGATGTTCCTTTTTATTTATTTATGATTATCTCTTGTATTTAGTGATAAACTATAAGAGATTAGTTTGGGATATATTTTTGTTTTTCAATACTTATCTATAGTTTATAGTTTCAAACCATATATTAAAACCCCAATACAGTTAAACTTGTTATCGTCAGTTTTTTATATCAAGCATATCACTGAGTGACCGTAAGCACAGGGGATTGGATTTAAAAGTTCTTGATTAATTCCATTTCCTCTGTTGTCAAATTACTACTTTCTAATTCGGTCGAATTCGGCCCAAAATTAATTTTCCATATTTATTAGCACCAACGATTGTACTCCCCTTCAGGGTTCAAGTTGTGGGGGATCGATTTAAAAAAATATATATATGTGATTTATTTGTCAGAAAAAAGTATATTTATTACAAAAAGGGGGAAAATGTTTGATATATGCAAGCTTTGTGAGATTTTATAGTTTACATAAACTTACTTAATTATTAATTACAATTCTAGTATACAATTTCCACGATTTTTTTTTTTAAAAATTATTTTTTATTTTTAGGGTTTCTAATTCCTAAGAGAGAAATCACTTTCGAAATAACAATATGTATTTGTGTGTGTGAGCGCATATTATTTGAAATTTGGTGTTCACGTAATGACTTTGTGTGTGTGTGTGTGTGAGCGCCTATTCTTGGAAATTTGGTTTTTCCGTAATGATTTTTTAACTGTGTTTAGTTTTTTCTTTTTCTTCGCATTCTTAAGACTATGTTCGGAAATGATAATATTATTTAGAAGAGAAAAGAAATGAAAAGAAAGAATGAAAGAAAGAAGATGATAGTGTTAAGTTTTAACTATTTATCTCCATTAGATTAATAAAAAGAAAAGATAGTAATCATATTTATTTTGTCTTTTCTAAAAACAAGGGTAAATTTAGTATTTGTAAAATTTTATTAAAAATACAAGCGTTTATTTTCTTTCCTTCCATTTTCACCCTTTTTTTGAAAAATGAAAAAAGGCTAATATTCGTGATCCTCCAAATCCTTCCTTTTCTTTTCTTTTTCTTTTCCTTTCCTTCAAACATTTCATAACAAACACAATTTCTCATCTTCCCCATTGTCAAAGCATAATGAAATAGGACAAAATTTTCATAAGCAAAAATGTGTTAACCTTTTGAGAATTTCTTTGTTTTGGTAAACTAAATCAGAAAGAACTAATAGGAGAATATTTTCCAGACAAATTTAGCAATTCTGGATTCACCACAATGCATATTCACCCATTTTAGTGAATTAAAATCCCTGCATGAGAAGGAAAGCTTTAACGTAGATACCTGAGCTGAGAATGGATAAACATTAACACAAACTAATACAAAACCACTTCCTTAATTTTCCCATTTCTCTCTGTCACTTTTATACAACACCACCATTACTATGGTGAAAAATAAGTCAGCAAAGATCAAAGAGCAAGAACAATAAACAAATGAATTCTACAAGGGTAAATCTATAGAAATTTAGAGAGTCTATAAAGATTTTTCTTGTTGAGGGCCACTTTTTCTCCTCCTAGTTTTCTTCACAGTAACTGCAGCATTCCCTTGAGATTGACCTTTCCCCTGATGCTTATCATTTACAATTCCTTTTGATGAATTTCTTTCTTTCCCTTGATGCACATCATTTACTGTTGCTTTTGATGAATTTCTTTGACTCCTAAGCCGCAAAATTTCACCTTTTGCAGATGCCAATTCCTCCTCCAGTTTCTTTGCTCTCTTCTCCAAATTTCCTCTTTCCTTACCGAGCCTCATCACAAGGTCATGTGCATCTTCCATGCTTTCTCGGGCCTCTTGAGAAGCTTGTTTTTGGTCAGCAAGGGTCCTATGAAGTACTTCTTTCTCTTCTTCAAGCCTAGAAATCTGAGAATTAGCCACCTCAAGATCCCTTGTAAGTATCAATGCACTTCGGTTCATCTCATCCAGTGATTTGATAGCATCTTCTAAATCTATTTCAAGGGTTTTTCGTGACTCCTTGTCTTTCAAAATTTGATCCTCCATAACTTCTAACTCTTTGTTCAAGGAAGAAACAACCTTTTTTTCTTCTTTTAAATCGTGGGATGCATGTTCTGCTTTCTTATGGACATCAACCAATTCCTTCTGTAAGCTATCACGATTTTCTGCAGCAGCTGCCAACTCATGGGACACAGTTTGCAGCTCATTTTTTGTATTCTTCAAAACCTCCATTGTTGATGCTAGTTGGCCTGCTAGCTCTTTACCTTTTTCTTTTGCCTCATCAAGCCTCCTCTGTAGTACATTCTTAGCTTCTGCAAACTCTGCCCGGACCTTAGTAACTTCAGACTTGAGTTCTGAGCATAAATTTCTGGACTGCTGTAGTTGCTTTTTTACATCAGAAACCTCATTTCTTGATTTCCCAAGAGTATCCTGTGTAACTTCGAGCTCATGTTTCAGATTCTTCACATTGTTCAGTTCAATATCCATCCTTTTCCTCAGATCATCCCTTTCTTGGGACAAATCAGCAACCACTGCTTGGTTTGTGCTCAACTCCTTCAAAGTAAGTTGAAGCTGTTCTTTAAGCTGTTGAAGTTCGTGTTCTCTTTCTCCCAAGAGCTTAGCAACCAAAGCTGCCTTATTTTCTGAAGAGATCTTCAGATTGCTGTATTCCTTTTGAATGACATCAAGTTTCTTGTTACAGTCATCTCTCTCTACAATTAAAGAACTAACTTGCATATTTAAATCATCGACAGCAGCATTCTTCAATTCTAGTTCTTTTTCATTTTTAAGTAGTTCAATTTTTAGCCCTTTGATTTCTGACTTTGTTCCCTCTAGTTCATCCTTAATCTGCTCATAGGTGATTTTCAACTTCTCAAACTCTGATTCTTTATCAACAAGTGCAGAGCTGAGTTTATGAACATTGTCTTCCTTGTCCCTGATCTCCAAACTGAGCAAGTTAATCTTTTCTTCCAAGAACCCTATTGTGTCAAGCTTCTCCTTCAGTTTTACTTCAAGTTCCTTCTTATCTTCTGCAGCCTCTGAGAGGTTACTTTCAAGACCATCTATTTGGATTTTAAGATCTTCAATCAATCTTTTCTCTCTCTGCAGTTCTTGTCCTAGGCCTGTTATTGTACTATTTGCTGACTTTAATTGGTTCATCAAAGACTGCTGTTCTTCCCTTGCTTTCCTAAGTAGCTTGTTACGTTCCTCCTGTTCATTCAATAACTTTGATTCAAAGTTCTTCTCCAGTGAAATAATCTCAGCTTCCTTTTCCTTTAATTTGGTCTTTATCTGTGGATTAACCAAAAGATACAGATTAAAACAGACAGCTCATTTTAAAACACATTCAGGAAACAGACCTCCAAAAAAAATATTTAAAGAGAACAGGAACCAAAATAAAATAAAAGAAATAATAAAAAAAGAAGGTGATGATGCCATTAAGTTTTTGAGCTTTCAGGTACAAGCTCAATGTGGAAAAATTTTCCTTTCCGAACTTCCTTTAGCTTCATCTGGTTAGAAAAGAGTCACATAAAAAATGTGCAAAACTATGACCTTTCTGATGAGTAAGATTTTCCTTAAATTTTGAAGTATTTGGAGCCAAATACGTAGGTTCTAACAGCCTCGTACTCTCCACAGAATACTCGACTCAAAGCAATTCAAGTACATGCAAAACATGAAGCACATCACCAAGTGGTATTTACTTTCAAAAACATTCTAGCACTCTCATCCAAAAAAAGTGAGCTTTATGCATGTAACACAAAAAGGAAAACACCCCTTTTAGGTAAAGGGACATTACCAAGTATGGTCCCACTAGTCCTAAAAAGGGAGGACTCAAGACAAACCTAACATTTGAAATTTCACAAAGTGACTGCTCGGAGGCACAAAATTGCAGCTATGGTATTGATGTTCAAGCGCCAAACCGCTAAACCAGACAACAGCCCTCAAATGCCCCTTTGAAGTATTTTCTTTAAATGATCTGATGTGTAATTGAAAATATATGTCCTCTAAACCAAAAAAACAGAAAAAGCAGCAAGGCCAGGGAGGGGCTTGCTTATTTATAAGTGAAAACAGAGTTGGCTTACAGATTCCATCGCCGCTTTAGTAGCTATCTTTTCCTTCCGAGTCAATGCATAGAGTGCACCTAACACCCCAGAACTGAATATTCCAAGTGCACTAAAAAGAGAAAGGAATGGATTTGGTGATGAATCTTCTTGATGTGCTTTCTGGCAGAAAAACAATTCATTTCAGAAAATTCAAGTTGGCAGGCATTTACAACCATAAGAACTATAAAATCCATCAATTCCCGGTTCTTTTATGATTTTGTAGAGACACAGACCTCTGCCTTTTGGTTGTCCTCTGGTATCCTTACTTTAGGTGCTTCTGGAATAAAATTAATAAAAAATTTAAACGATAATGAAGTAAAGAAAGAGGATATAAAACAATTTGACTGCAGAAGGGGTACATAAATAAAACTTCACCGTACATGTGAGATAATGGGACAAAAAGATATAAAACTACAACCTACATTGTCACTGGACCATTTTATTAATAGACTCTTTTGGTATTAGGAAGATGACAGACGAGCATAATCAAGAGCCCACGATTGCACAAGTATACCATGCAAATATACTCTGATTCTGTAACTACTCCTAGTATTAAGTATCAACATGTATCGGAAAGTGAAGGTATCCATTTATTCTACTCCTAGTATTAAGTATCAACATGTATCGGAAAGTGAAGGTATCCATTTATTCTAGATGTGTAGATGGACAAAATGCTAAAGCATAAAAGTTCAACCAATAAAAATGCACTTTTTTTTTTTTGGTTAGTAAGATTGTATTAGAGGCTTTCAAACAGGGAACGCAGCCAAAATGCACTTAAAATCAGTTAAGAATATACACCAATATTTGCTTTGATATCTGGAAAAGTTATAGAAAATATGACTTCAATAACTACATCGCTTTCTTTCTTTTTCTCCTTTTTGTGGTTATAGCTATGTTTCCTTTCTTCATAAAAGTTAAGTGTTCCTCTATAATAAATACTCTTCAAATCATAAAATGAAAGCGTTGCCAACCTTACTCTTTTTTCAGTATAATGCTTTCCTATTCTTGGTAGATTCACGTCCCCCACTCTCCGACCCCACCCCATCCCATCCTGTTTATCTACTGCTACATTTTACCTCACTGTAAAGACCTTTAATCACTACGAAGATTACTTATTGTAAAAGTCTCTTGCCGCTAATTCAGACAAGAAGAAAATGTTATCCCACAATTTAGGCTTTTGAGTAGAATCTTACTTTGGGAAAAGATTCAACACCTTAGCTTCTCTGAAATACCTACTGTACAATATGGGGATGGCAATTTTAGGAGAAAACATCAAGACACAATCTGAGCAGCATTAACATTCCTGCCAAGCCTCCAAAAATGCCACAGGCTTAGCTAGAGTGCCTCAACCAAGTAAGACCAGGCCCTTTCAATCAGGTTCACATAAAGCCCTCTTCTGGCTTGTGCTTTTTAGCAGGCTCCAGTTTCAAAAAAGGCACGCCATTTTATTTTTCAATCATTCTTTCAGGTAATATTCATTTTTATTTAATGACTACTAAATTAAAATGTTCTATATCATAGCATGGTCATATTTAATGGATCATATTGGTTTAACCTTATGAAGTATTTGACAAAATTCATAAATTTATGGTTCACTACTTACATTAATTGCAGATAGTAATTGATTTTGAATATATCATAGTTACAATATATGTTTAAAGTTTGCATGATTATAGTTTTTTATTGTTTAAGATTTTGTAATCACATTTAATTTTGTTAATGCATATGCATATGAAAGGATTTTTGAGCAAATATCAAAAATACAATATGTAGAGATTTTTTATATTATTTGCGTCGCATATCTTTAATTGTTCCAATTGTACATTTATTGAATTCATGTGCAAGTAGAAAAGACATATGTATGTTGATTTAGCTAATCCATTGAATTGATATGCGGAAAAAATTCCTCATTTTGTTGCATACTTGTAATTAATATGCATTATTATTACACATGCACCTTACTTCGATCAAGCTTGCGCCTTAATTTGCGCCTTGCACTTAGGCTCCAAAAGACCATAGGCGCCTTAGTGCGCCTTGAGCCTCTAAAAACTACGAACACCCCTGCAATACTCTATTTCATTAATTCAGGGAAAAAGAAAAATAATACTTAAGGGAAACAAAAAGTTTATGAGACAATAAAGTTCATGCCGCCCCAACATTTGCACTATGTCAACAAGCAAGACAATAAGTATAACAACTCCATGCCCTCGAGGGGGGGAGAGCACTGGTCTCTCTCAGGTCCAGCTGTTTTGCACTTTTTATCGCTTAATACTTATCATACCAATTAGACATGTTGTATAGGTGTTTGAGTTGGGATAGGGCTTCCTTGAGTGTTTGCACAGCCAAGAGAAGTAAAACAAGTTTCCACGCTACTTTTTAAGGTGTTCTAACCACATGATGCTAATTGAAAACTGGAGCAGCAAATTTGCCCCATATGTCAATACATACTCAAATAGTTAACAAAATACAAGAATATAATATTGGAAATTTGGAACTAAATAACTGACTTCAAATTTTTTATGGTTAGATATATCATTATCTTAAAAAATATAGGAGAGTCTTTAGAATTCCAGGACTTAATAATCATGCAGGCGAAGTCAGCTACAGTTTCCGTGAGTTTACCAATATGCATTATTTTGTCTCAATTCAAAGAGATGATAAATCAGGGTTATTTTAGAGAAGTACTAAGAAGACATGCATGAATTTTGCTTCCCTTGTTCTAGAAATATTGTTATTAAATTAAAGAAAGGGAAACCTCTTCATATTGAAGTTTCCATAGAAGCCAAGCGCATCCTAAGTCTGCATAAGGTCATGCGCTCTTTTGAGACTTAAAATGTTAGGAATACCTATGAATAAAACTGAAAACCTTATGGAAATGTTTGAACCAGTTTGTTGTTGAGTTCTTAAACATTCATTTTCCTATCTTATAAATTTCTTTCGCATCAAATATTCCAATATGTTGTACACTTTTATTACTTTATTTAGCACTGAACTGACTCTATAAGTCTATATCAACAAAATATTACTGCTTAATTTCATTGATATTAACTTTGATTTAAGATATCAGTGTAGGTGAACGTACTACATCCCAAACCAAGAACTACATTATCACAAACCCAATTCAGTTCAATTACCATAATCAAATGGGAGATAGTGAATTAATGCGTATGTGTGATACATACACTACATGTGTGTGTCTATTCAAGAACGAGTGACAATAATAACACGTATTATCTAATCTAATGCACGAAGAATAAACGGTATCCATCAAATTTGGACCAACCCAATAACAATATTTGGAAGAAAACACAATCTGAAGCCACAGAAAACGAAACCCATTTCACCAAATCATTGATTTTCTAAACAAAAACCTTCAAATAAGCTAAACCACATGACCCTATATTTAACCACAGCATAGTCCAAGTCATAAATCTTGCAAAAGGAAACAAGAATACCTAAATCATCCGGTGTCAGGCCTTCAAAAGCTTTAGCCTTTAATTGCAGAAAGGGAAGAACTGAAATACCCACAAGCAGAATCGCTTTCCTTCTGCAGAAAACTCTGTCGTTTGGGTTCTCATGGTGCATACACGCCATGGCTGTCCTGCTCTTTCTCTTGGTTTCTGCATTTCTTGTGCAAGAATAGAGGAAAACAGATTGAGAAGAGAATGGTGAAGGACAAGAAGAAGCAAAAGGAGAGAAGAGGGGAGAGTGCAACAACCAAGAACTTCCCATTACAAAGCCCATAGCTTTTTCCTGATTTTGAGTGAGAGACGGGCAATGGCTACTCTCAAGAATCACCTCCTCTTGCTCTCAGTGCTTTGTGTTTTCTATTGTCGGTCTTGTATTTTTACCCGGATGCCCTTCTTTAGTTGGGATAATTATCATAAAACCAATTTGCAACTTTTTTCATAAGAAAATTTTACGAGTTAAAATTACTGAAGTTTTTAAATGGTAATTAAAAAATAAATATTTTTGATATTTTTTCAAACTTTTACTAAAGTTTTAGTGCTCAGTAAATAGTGATAAGTGATGTTCAATGTCACTTCAAATTTTAAGTCATTTTAAGTGGTATTTATCATTTTCAGTAATATCCAGATTAGGTGTTGAATTTAGAAAAAACAAAGTAGTTATGCTTTTGATACGAGAGGGAATGGGAAGGGAGAAAAAAAAGAAAAGAAAAGTGGAAAAAAAAATGCTATACTAAGACCTATAAAATTAATTAATAGATTATTAATTTAAATGGTATAATTTTTTATTTTTTAGAAAAGAGATTGAGAGTGTTTGTGCTCTCATAAGAATGTATTATCATATTATGAGCATTTGTGTGTTTACTTGAACAATGGAAAGAAAAAACCAACGTTTTCCATCACTCGCTGAGTAGATGAGAAAGTCACATTTTCAATTTAACAATTGAGATTATGGTTCACCATATCGTCCTATACGTGACCATTTTTAAGTCCGATATAAGAATCGTATCGACCAGTTTTCATTAACTTTGTCTGAATACATTACACTGTGACTATAACCGTAACCGATACTATGAACCAGAGTTGAAAGTGTTAACTCACGAGAAGTGGATTGTATAACATTTTTGTATAGTGTTTTATTTAAAAAAAAGAGAGAAAGGAAACGAAAAGAAGAAAAGGGCGAGGGAGGGAGTTCTAAACCCTTTTATGAATAATTATTTTATTTTCCTTTTTAAGAAATGAGAGAAAAATGATAAGGAAATTAATAATAAACTGTTTTGCTTTTAAAATAAGTGAACATCTATTTTACCAATTACATTGTTATTATGCGCACATGTTAAACTAACGATTATCATTGATTCATTGATATACTCTACAATTTTTTTTCCTAATAATCCAAAGAAAATAAGATATTTTTGTATGATTTTAGAAATATTTACATACTTAAAAGTAAAATGTAACTTTGGCAAGCCAAGACAAAGAGTAGCCCCCCCCAAAAAAAAAAAAAAAAAAAAAAACCGATTCATAGGCTGCCATTTAGTATATTGTCATGTCAAAAGGTTTTCCATTTGGTATGTCAATCTGGTCAAGTATATCATTTTTCCAGAGAAATTTGATTTTTAAACCGACTTGGTGAGAACTTTTCTATTGTTTGGATTGGCTTGAAATTTTTTTACTTGACTTCAAGAACTTAAAGCTTTACTTTGGTAAAGCTACAAAAACCCTTGCTGTATAAAAAAATATGTAAGAAACATTTTTGATTTTTAAAAGTGCAAATAAATCTATGTATTTTGAAATTTTGTAGCAAATTGTCCCCTAGTCAACAATTTTGATCAAAAAAAATACCCTTAAGGGAATTTTAGGTTTTTATTTTTTAATAAATAAAAAAATATATTTTGGAGATTTTTATAAATTTTAAAAATGCCCTTATTTATTTACTTTACTATTTCTTGTTTTTAATTTTTTTTAGTATTAATTTTTTATTTTTTATTTTATATTTTAATTTGTCTTACGGGCATTTTAAGAATTTTAAATTGAAGAATTGAAGAATTGTCCTTATTTGCTCAATTTGAAAAATATATGAGATTTTTTTTAAAATTATTTGCAAATTATGTATAAAATAGGGTTTTTTTTTTTTCCGACCGTTTATCCTTATTTTTATTATATTAATATTATTGCTAAAATATTAATAACCTTAACGTAACCCAACTACTCTAGCCCTGACAGAGTCATCAAGTATATTTGAGTTGCATCCCCATTCCCTACTTGGAAAGACAATGGTTAGAATAGAAAGCACCATCTGTGGCATTTTTGTTGTTTGCTACCAAGTTGGAGTCATTTTGAGAACTGCTCTATAGAAGCAGGATCAGGTCCTTTTCTTATTGGAGTTACACTACTAAAAATGTGCCAACTCAGGGTTATATCCATTTTATCCTCAACCCGTGTTTGGCTCGATTGCCATGTCATCATATTTCTCGGTAAGTTTACCCACATACATTATCCTTTCATAGGTCTCTCTCTCTCTCGTGATTTTCCTATGAAGAAAACACCCACGTCATCAAAGTTACCACTCACTTTAGCCTGTCTAAGCGGGAGGCGTTTTTTCGGAGTCTTCAAAAATTAGTCGGAGTAAAATTTTGAATACGCGGGTTACTAAAAAAAAAGTTACCATCCACTTATGTAGGGAAAAAAAATGTTTCTCTCTTGAATTTTTTTTCACAATTTCACCAATTCACCTTACAATAAGAGAAACAATAATCATAAATTTCTTAGTAGGCGGTTGATATTTTAGCTCTAAATTTATTAAACTTAGGCTGCAGTTATTTGAGCTTTGAAAATTTCATCCGTACTCAAGTGTCGCTTTCTCATATATGTAACAACAATTATAACTTTTTAAATGCCTTCTCATGCATGGAGAATCAGTTAAGTGAAAAACATGTTCAACCAAAACACCAATATCTCCCTCAAGAATTAAAGGAGCCTCTTTTATCTTTCCATATCTAAAGAGAACCCAAAGCACTTCTCACATTACACTATAATACATTAAAAAAATATGCACTTCCCTCTTGAAATTTCCCTTAATATCATCTTACATTTCTACTTAATAAGAGAAACAATAATTATAAATTTATTAAACTTAGGCCGCTGTTCTTTGAACTCCAAATTTATTGAACTTAGGCCACTGATGTTTGAGCTCTGAAAATTCCCTTGACCACCCAAATGTCGTTTTCTTATATATTTAATGATAATTGCACCATTTTATGTACCTTCTTATGCATAAAGAACGTAACTATTTAAGTAGAGAACTTGTTCAAGCGCGCTAAACATTAATGTTTCTCTCAAAAATTAAAGGAGACCTCTTTTATCTTTCTATATCTTAATGGAACCCAAAAAGCTTCTCAAGTTATAATAAACATTAACAAACGCATTTTTCTCTTGGAATTTTCCCTCAATTTCATCTTACATTTTTACAATAAGAGTCAAACAATAATTACAAATTTATTAAACATAGTGCCGCCGATATTTGAACTCCAAATTTATGAAAGGGAAAATTACATTTACATTGAATTGAGTTAGTAACTCAAAATAACAAAATGGTCTATATTAAAAGTTTATTTTTCACCTTGGTTGAATTAAGTAAAATAATTATATATACATCAAGAATCATTATTTAAGTCCAAAATATCTTCCTAACTTATATTTTAAAATACTAAATTATTTTTTTTTAAAATGAAATAATTCATTCACTCAATTTAAAAAAAAAAAAAAAAAAATTGAACCCACTTTGAATATCATTTAATTAGATAATTTGGTATCATTTAATTGAGAAAACATCGAAGAAGCATCAATTCCTGGCCTCAGAAGTACAACCTATGCTTCTCCCTTTTTTTTTTTTTTTTTTTTTTTCTAATAATTAATTAATTGCAACCCTTGCCCTTATGTATAGACATACACTTTCCATAAAAATATCTATCTATCTGGATAATGGGTGAACAATGGACAGAAAAAACTCAAATGCTATAATATTTTGGAGGTAATTTGGTATTTTGAAATAAGAGTTTGGAGGGATTTTTGGACCTTAATAATGATTTTCAATGTATATGTCAAGCAAAATAAAAAATAAAATTTTAAAATAGTCCACTTTGTTATTTTGATCTCCTAATTCAATCTAAGTGTAGTTTACACTTTATTAAACTTAGGTCGCTAATATTTGAGCTAGGGTTTTCCATCGGGCACCCAAATGTCCTTTTCTCATTTATGTAATGACAATTGTACCCTTTTACGTGTTTTCTAATGCACAAAGAACTTGTACGATTGTGCAAAAAAACTTCTCTAAATTATATTTATAAACACAAAAAAGCACTTTTCTCTTAGAATTTTCCCTCAATTTCATCTTACATTTCTACAATAAGAGTCAAACAATAACTACAAATTTATTAAACTTAGGCCGCTGATAGTTGGGCTCTCTAAAAATTCCCTAAGGCACCCAAATGTCGTTTCTAATCATATATGTAATGATATTTGTACCCTTTTACGTACCTTCTCGTGCACAGAAAACTTATTCAAGCGAAACACGAATATCTCTCTCAAGAATTAAATACTACCTTTTTTTATCTTTCTATATCTAAGGGGATATAACCCAAAAAAGATTCCATGTTTTAATAAACACAATTTTTTTTCCACCATTTCATCAAAATATATATATATATATTAGCTAAAGGGTAAGCTTGTATAAATAGATAAATGTACATGGGCCCCAAAGGGGAATGAAGCAAAACAAAATAATTTAGAAATACAAAACAAACAAGGCCACGGACTAACAACACCCCCGCCAAACAATGAAACCATTGTACCATATCAACAATCCAGCCCAACCATATCAGGAAGACATTTTTCCTTACAATCTTCAAGGCACAGACTACGGATGAGGACTTAATTAAGTTATCAGCCAAGAGTGCAATCTTGAATCACTGCAAGACTGAACAAACAAGCTGTGAAGGTCATGTGGATCGGATATATCTCTGAGCTCAGCACTACTTTTCAATTTGATGGTTGCAAATTTTGATCTTGTTGAAGATTTAATCTGTGAAATGATGAGGGTAGGTGGTTTAAAACAATTCCTGAATGCTCTGAAATTCCTCTCCTGCCACATAAAGTAAATTGTTGCAGAAAGCAAGAGCTTGTGAATTAGGAATTTTTCTGAAGTCCAATGAGTTGAGCACCATTCAATCAAGTCTGTCCAGCAGTTGGGGAGAATATAAAAGCCTGCAATCTCTTGGAGAACTCTCCAAACCCGAGAGCTGAAGCTACATTTGAAGAACAAATG